ATCAAGATAGGCTGTGCTATAACAAAATATATAACCTCGAGTATTATCTGAAGGCATTATCTGAAATATTTTATTGTGTGAGATCATATAGTCTCAATGTGTTACTCCTCCCATATTTATGCAAAGCATGAAATAAAAAAATAAAAAATAAAAACTTAGTAAAATATTTCAGCTTATTAGTGAAGAGGTTAATAACATTTAACTATCTCAGTGTTTGCTCTGTACAAAACGGTTTTGTTTAAACACTAAAAATATGTTTCAGAACTTTGTACAGCATTACTTGACCTGGGAATACCAAATAGGTAACCCTCATTTTGCAAGTGTACATTGAATGTAAATACTTCTGTAGTATGCTTGGCATATATGTGTTAAACTAAGTGTCTAAATAAATTGCGACAAAAAAGATGCATATTGAATCTTGCCTTTTAAAGCTGATACTGCCATGATTTGCAATAGTAATAATGGATCCTTCTTTGCATTGCATTATATGGACCAGTGGTCTGTGATGAGTGATTCAATTTATTTTTTCCACAGGATTTCATCAACCATTTTATTGCTAAGTATTTCTTTTTTATCACAGAGTAAGCCTTATCCCTTGGTAACAATATTTCATTGGAATACAATAAAATATTTTTTTCCACTCTCAAGAGTCTCTTAACATGGCAGTGATAGCATTTGTTACTGGACTATAAATTCCTTCTGAAAACAAGAGTTATGTTACCGTGTTGATCAAACGAATGTTAAAGAACTACTCTTCAATTACCTAGTCATCTTAGATAATGTAGGAAGGACATTGACTGAACCACATAGCCCAAATTGATCTACAAATCTATTTCAATGTAAAGATAATTCAAGTATCAGAACAGGTTCTTGATGTAGAAACACACTCTCACATTAAAGCTAATTAGTTAGCCTGTAGCCTTTAAAGTGGTCAAGCTTTAACTATCTTATTAAATATATTTTTTGACCTCAAGCAAGGTCTCACGTAGCAGATGTTTAGTTTGCAAGACAACTACTTATTCAGTATATGTGTAAGTAGACCTATTTTAGCTATCTCCTCACACTATGTTGGCAGATCTCAAGAATGACATCATTATATTTAGTGCTCATATTCTTTTCTGGACAGAAGCAATTTTATCTCTTCACTACTGAATATTTTGTTTGAAAAAAACACTGTCATAACATTTATTTGAAACATGAGTTGCATAGCTAGAGGTGCAAAATTACTGGTGGTGCAGCTGGTGGGACTGCTGGTGTGGCAGGAGGCCTGTCGATGCCTGTTGTTCTCATGGGTGCCACGGGGGTCTTTCCCAGCTGGATGTTTCCATGTGGTAACAGAGGATGGTAGGGCTTTTGGTAAGCTCGCTGGAGCCCTGAGAAAGACTTTTAAAGTGTGCACAGCAGGAAGGTGAGGACTAAGAGAGAGAATGTATGTGTGTGTCAATATGTGCATATGAAATCAAGAGAGGCACACTCATGTATACATTATAAGGTTGCTGCTGGGGCTAATTCATACAATTAAATTGGGTAATAGTAACAACCCCTGGATGTTGGGCTAAGGTAACATCCCCAGGATGTACTTGAAAACCAGAGTAATCTGAATGTACCTTTCCTGGTTAAATACTTTGTTATTATTATTATTATTATTATTATTATTATTAATTAATACGCCATACAATCTGGCACACTCACTCATTCACTAAAAAGCAATTTCAAAGCTCACAGAATGTAATAGTTTTTTTATTTTTTAAACCAAATCTAGGCAAATATAATGGAGGTTTAATTACAGTATATGATCATACACTGAATAAACATGTCACAACGCAAGTGTACCACATTTTTTGCAGGTCCAATACTAGCAACGTAATGCTTGATCTTATGAGATTAATCCTCCATGGTTAAATAGGGCCTTAGAATGAGGAACCTGTGACAGGGATTTAAATTGACTTTCAAATATATTTATATATGAAATCAAGAGGTCTGAACATGCATAAAAGTTCCAGCGCACTCACCCATTCACTAAACTGCAATTTCAAAGCTCATGGAACATAATTGTTTTTTTAAACACCTAACCCAGGGAAAATGAATAGGGATTTAGTTACAGTAAGAGCGGGCATTAGGTTGGTAGGATAGTACCTGCCAGAAATGGGGAATATTGGCATTGTGGCATGTTTTTGCACTTTATGATCATATACTGTAACTTTGCCTAAGCTAGGTGTTAAAAAAAAAAAAATTACATATTGTATTTTTTGTAATATTATATCCTATTGTAACAATGCAATGTTTTGTGGACCCAAGACATACTTGAAAGCTAGAGAAATCTCAACATATTGAGATGCACAAATATAAGTCTCTCTCTCTCTCTCTCTCTCTTTATATATATATAAAACTTATTACCATGTCTAATTCTGATCTATACATCTCATTAATTTACTTATCAATCATTTAGCTTGTCCAATGTAACATAACATACATAAGATACAATATTAAAACACAGGTTCCTGCGATAGAGATTAAAAAAAAAAATGGAGGAAGTTTCTCATACCATTTTAGATATTTATAGGTCTTTTCATATTTATTATAACTGTTGTAAGAAGGGTAACTACATGCTTTCACTATATGTATTATGTTCTTTAAGTCTGTTGTAACTTACTGATCCATTCTTTCAATATAGTTCTCTCTCTATCTATACCCATTTCCATATTAATCTGATATATCACTTGTTCTTTAACTGCCTCCCATACTGGGACTTAAGTAGATTTCCAATTTCTAGTGACCAATATTTTAGACGCTAGCAAAATGTGTATAATCAGGATGGAATATTGCCAAAAGTTTTGGGCTAGATGTAATGGCAACAAATAGGTACCTGGATTTGGATCAATCTTAATATTACTCAACACATTTATCTTACAAGCAATCATTTTCCAGTAAAGAAAGATTGGTCCATATTCCCACCATATATGCAACATTCCCGC